GTTGTCTGTATATGTATATATATATATATATATAGATATATATATATATATATCAATATAACCACCATGCCTGGTGACCACAGAGGTCAGAAATGAATATCCAATTTTTGTGAGCACCTATTTAGAATGTAGTACTAGATGCTGTATAATTGAGCATAAAGGTTAATAAAGTCGACTTTTGGGTTTTCAATATGAATTCACCAGAAGTTGGGCAAGTTATCTTTTGAAATCTTTATTTTTCATTTGAAAAATAAATGAGAAATGACAAAAATAATGTCACCAGACTTCTAAGATATAATGAAACAAAGCAAAACTAACCAGCACCGCCAGCAGCAACAAAACTCTTCATGAATCTGTTAAAATTGGGCCCAATATAAAATAAGAAATTGATAAACGTTTATCAACAATACCTTAGGATTAATTCCATGTTTTAAGGCAATAGTTGAAAATCGCAACATTCTGTTTTTTGGTAACTGAAAATAAACTTGATAGTTTTCCCGTTTAAACATTCCAAATGGCTGTACTTAAATTTGTTCCTTGCATGAGTTAAGTTACATGAAAATCATATTTTTGTGAGACATGATAGTCTAGCAGAAATTAAAACAATATTTCCCACAAGAAGACAAAATGCATTATGCATTTTACCAATTTGGTGTGTGTGTATGCGAGTGTGTGTGTTGTATGTATTTGTACAACACATCTTATTGGCTCTGTAGACCAACTGCTATGATTAATAAGAACAAGTTTTCTAAAGAAAATGGAATCACAACAAAATTATTTGTGTTTAACTTTTATTAGCGACAAAAAAGAAAGACTGAGACAAAACAACATGAAATGATAAAAGTGAATGGTGAAAATTCATTCACAATGATTGCTTCCACCAGCAATTTGTCCTGGGTAATTCTCAGCCTGAACTATGATTCTCCAAAGTGATAGCTGAAAGTGAATTATCATAACACAACCACACTCACTCAATAATGCCTGGGAAATCCATTCAAGGCATTTGGGGAAAATTCAAAAGGAGAGATGGCTTTTTGTTTAGTTTTCGTTATTCCAGTTAATGATCTACAAAACATTTCTTCCTTGACTACCAGTCAGCAAACTCGTGAAAATATTCAGTGAAGAAAAAGAAATTATTAAATTCATGTGGGTGAAATAGGAACCCACCTGAGCTGTCAGGACTCAGATTCTGAGCAAAAATCCTTCCAATGGTGTTGGGAAATGTCTGAAATTACTTTGGACATTGTTTTTATCTTAGGGAAAGCTAGATCATGTTTCATGGATGGTTGGTTACATAGGAATCTAAAACATATTCATTTCTGTAGTTTCCAGTGGAGGTATATGGCACTCTAAGGCTTTGTTAGCAAAACCAAATAGTGTCATGTAGTGAGAACAAGATTAATGAGACTTTAAAACTCCATCTATCATAACTCCATACAGTTTTTAGAATTCTCACACTGTATGGCTGTCATTTATTTTGTTGGGAATCAAACCCAGAGCCCTGTGCATGGTAGTTCGCCCTCTATCACTAAATTACATACATGCCCAGATCCAGTGGAGCTGTTATTCTTGCTTTCTGTCTAGCTACATTCATGCCTACTGTAAAAACACTGGTTTAAGAAGAAATAGCCCCACTGCTCTGCCTGGATATGTTTACCCAGTCAATTGGTGTATTAGTGATTTGTCTGGACACTGTGACAAAACATTTCAACAAAGCAATTTAGAGAAGAGGAGGTCTACTTTAGCTCATACTTGGGGGGTATAGCTCATGGTTGTGGGGATATCATGACAGTATGATCATATTGTGTTCTCAGTTGGGAAACAGAGAGAAGTATTTGTCCAGTACTTAAACCCATGGAATAGGCCTGCCCACCACAGACAAGTCTTCCCCCTCAGGTAACCTAACCCAGAACTCACAGGCATGCCTAGAAACTTGTCTCCTAAGTGACTCTAGACACCACCTAGTTGGCAGTTGATGCTAAACATAGCAATTGATGTACAGATTTCGATAATGGTGCTATGGACAGGACTGAAGTAGGAGCAGAACTCACAAGAGAAGCCACACATTGTCTGTAGAAGCATGTCCAGGTAATGCCATGCTGGAGGAGTGGAGCTCCAAGCTCTGCATTATCGGAAGTCAGACTACTCTGTGCAGGCAGAATCACTTATCTGGAATGAGGGAGGTTTTAATAAAAGTGAACAAAAAGAACTATGCTTGTCATCTGCCGAAACTGAAGGAAGGAGAAGCAGCTGAGGAAATGGAAGTCCCCTCAGCTGTGGCTAATTGGGTCAAGGGGGAAGAAAGCAGAACAGATGTGTTGCTTTATAGACAGAAGGGAAGTCATGAGTAATAACCTAGAGATCATTGAATCACCAGGCTTGGTGGTAAAAACATTTGGAGGGATCTTCCATTTGGAACTAGGCCCCTGAGCTCACTCAAGCGCTTTACAAAGCAACTAGTTTGTGAGTGAGTGGACTCAAAAACTTCAGAACCTTGTTGTTTTACTCAAAAGTTTACTCACATCTTTCTCACCTCTTACTTCATGAAGGACTGTTATAAATGATGGGTTGTTTGGTTGGTTGGTTGGTTTTTAGGCCCAAGGCAAGAAACCTATCTAGGAACCTAAGAGCAGTTATTTTATCTCCCTGGGATTGTGTATTAGGCAGAGCCACTATGGAAAACAGCCTTTAAGATTGCCCATATGAGTGTCTTATCACATCCTAGCCTCCTCTCTTGTCCCATTTCTATTGTCAGTGATGTCCCCATAGGCTTTCCTTCATAAAAGCTGTTTCCAGGGAAACTTGAAAATATGCCCCCCACATCTGACAGCCTTCCTACTCTAAAGCAGAGGGTCCTTCTGGAGGAGGCAACTGAAACTCATAGAGTCAGAAACTTACAAAATTGTAGTCTGAGCTACCACATATTGGCCACAGAGGATGTAACAGGCACAGCCCTTTTATCTTGGTAGGGAGATTGG